TTGATATTCTTATAGTATCCATAATGCCCAAAGCTGGGATTACAGGTGTGGGCCACCATGCCCAGATAATTTTTTTATTTTTAGTAGAGATATGGTTATAGCATGTTGGCCAGGCTGGTCTCAAACCCCTGACCTCAAGTGCTCCACCTGCCTCGGCCTCCCAAAGTGTGGGATTCCAGGCACAAGCCACCATGCCAGCCTTTTATATAAGTTTTCTTTTTTAAAAGGGTCCTGGTCAGGCCAGTTGACAAGCCCCAGGCCCCTTGAGTCTCATCTACTTCCATTGTGTGGTAGCAGTTTCTGTCCCTTCCCTGTTCCCCTGGAGCAGGAGTGAGCACACCTCTCCTTTCCCTGCCCCAGGTCCTCCAGCCCCACCTCACCTCCTCCCAAGGCCACCCTCCTGGCATGCCCACTCCAGTGCCTGGGACCTAGGGGAGGAGAGGCAGGTGGGTGGTGTCCTGCCTGCAGTGTACAGATGATGCCAGTGGCCACCTGGAACACGGCACTCACAGTATCTGACACATCAAACACAGCTTCCTTGTCCTGGGAGGCACATGGCAGCAGGTAAGGGCCTAGCAGCTCCCTGGCACCCAGGGTCTCCACAGCCCCACCCCCACTGACGCATCCTCACTGCCTTCCATGGGAAGAACACTCAGCACCCCAGAAAGGAAGGGCAGAGAGCTCCAAGGGTAGCCATGGATGGGGCTGTGTGCACAGGATGGGAGGATGTATGGCAATCCTGGGGGACCCCTGCCTGGGTATGCCAGAGCCCCGAGAACTGGCACGTGGTATGTAGGCAGCAGGCCTCTACCGGCCACTGCCCCCAGCCTCACACCTTTAAGTCTTTGTTGTAGGTGCTAGAAGTCCCTTGAGGGTCATGAGGAGCCTGGCACACTACAGGAAGAGGGAGGGACAGGAGCTGGACCCAGGATCCTGCCTCCTGGCCACCAACCCCCATCAGCACAGAGGGCCCGCCCCTCTCTCTGCCCAGGCAGCCTTGTGTGGGGTCCGGGGCTTGGCCTCCCTAGGGGGCCGTGTCACATGCAGAGGCGGTAGCCGTCCCAGGACAGGAGATGCCGTGGAGAAGGCACGTGTTTGAGTTGGTGTCGCTGTCCCAGACGCCTTCCCTTGGGTAGAGCTGCCTGTCCGAGGAGGGGCTGACACTCAGCCTCCGTGTCCTGGCCGCACCTGGAGCCCTGCCGTGTGTGCTGGGCTCAGCCCAGTGCCTTCCCGAGGCCTGTGCGGGTCCAGGCAGAGGCGGGGTCATTGCCGCGTGTGTTCTATCCAGTTTCTGATCATCCACTTCTGCCCTGAGCACCTCTGCACCACCAGCCGGAGCCCGAAGCTGGCGTCTTTGGACATCTCCCCCTCCAGGCAGCGGCCTGTGGCCCGGCTCACAATGGGGCCGCTCTGGGTGAAGTCCCACAGCCGCTGTGCTGGCCACGCCACGTCCTCGCACTTCTTCAGGGTGGGCGTGCGGCCCCTGCCGTCATCCACCAGACACTTAGAGTCGGGCAGGAAGGCCGTGGAGCCCAGAGGCCCCAGCTGCAGCAGGCCATCAGCACTGTACCGCACCAGCTGGGAGGACATCCCGTGGCAGGGGTAGAGGATCGCTAGGTCATCATCCTCCACTCCCTGGTCCAAGCAGTAGCCGCTGGCTTTGCTGTTTCTCACCTCTCCGTACGTGAGTGTGTTGTTGTAGGTCCTCATCTCCGGGTACACGTTCTCCAGGTACCACTTGAAGCTGCGACACTTCAGCTTCTGGCGCAGGGCCAGCCTCTCAGACACGTCCCCAAAGTCCACCCCTGGGTTCGTCATGGGGATGTTCCAGGCCATGTACACATGGGACTTGAAAGATACAGTACAAGAAGTGACCAAAGTTCGAAGAAATAATCTTTTCAACCAGGAAATGCTTTCCCCTTAAAAGAGATCACTGAAACGGGGGTTTCCTAGATGCCATTCTGTGTCAGCTGTGGAAGGTCTAGAGGATAAACTTGATAATTTCAAGAAGACCAAAGGTAATCACAAACTGCTGACAAAGAGTGTGGCCGAGACTCCATTGCATAAGCAGATCTCCAAAAGGCTGCTGCATAGACAAATCAAGGGCAGGTCCTCTGATCCTGGTCCTGATATTGGTGTTGTTGAAGAGTCCCCTGAAAAAGGAAATGAAATAAGCTTGAGACGAAGTCCTCGAGTCAAGCAGTTGTCATTTAACAGGACATTCTGCTTCCTTCCATTCTTTGTCTCAGCCGAAGTCTCGAAGTGTGCAAAGAGTCCACTCATTCCAGGAAGTTAAGTCAGACCAAAGAGAAAATTCTCCAGTCCAAAGTATTCAATCTCCTAAGAGTCTTCTTTTCGGGGCAGTATCTGAGATGATCAGACCCTCAGAAAAAGGTTCAGCTCGAATGAAAAAGCATTCAAGAAGCACACTGGGTTCAGAGATACCTGCAGCTTACCAGACTCCCAAGAAGAGTCACCAGAAATCTCTGAGCTTTGCTCAAACTTCACCAAGAAGTTTCTCTCATACACCACAAACTCCGTCGTGTATTCCAGAAAGGCCACAGAAGTCCCCTGCAAAAATGACCCCTACAAAGCAGGCAACTTTAAAGGAGTCCTTAAAAGATTCCTCCTCACACATCTGTGAGTCACCATTGGATTCAAAAATCACTCCTCAAAAACGATGCACCCAGGCAGGAGAAGGCACTTTTCTTGAAACAAAGACACCAAGAACTCCTAAGAGGCAAGGTACTCAGCTGCCTCGGTTTTCACCAAATTGTACTTGGCCACATTCAGTGGATTCTAGTCCAGAAAGTCCCTCTTGTGCAGCACCCCCAACTTCATCCATTGCCCAACCCAGGAGAGAGTGTCTTAGTCCCTTCAGAGACCCTCTCAGAACACCCCCGAGAGCAGCAGCCTTCGTGGGCATGCCTCAGAATCAAACACACCAACAGCCCCATGTACCCAGAGCTGCTTAGGCAGAGGAACCACCCCAGAAACTGAAGAATAATGCTATCAAAACCCCAAAAAGACCAGGGAATTCAACTATGACTTCTTCCCCACCTGTTACACCAAAGAAACTATTTACCGCTCCTTTATGTGATACTTCCAAGAAGAGTCCATTTGGGAAATCTAAAACAGAGTCTCCTTCCCCAGAAGAACTGGATGGGAAAGAGCCCCCGATGTCACCCAGTGTAGCTGCATCTCTCTTTCACAGAGCGCTACATTGGACACCATCCCTCCTCCGCCCCCTTGTAAAGCTGGGAAATGGTGTAGAAAGACCTCTGATCCCAGAAGGAGCATCCTGGAGTGTCAGCCCAATGCCTCTGCTACTTCTGGGGTTGGCACAGCTGACAGCCCAGCTGCCACCACAGACTCTAGAGATGACCAGAAGCAACTGAACCTCTCTCCTCAGTCTCCTCCTGAAAGACGGAGCTACCCAGGCCCTGGTCTCAGGAGTGACTGGCATGCATCCTCTCCTTTGCTCATTACAAGTGACACAGAGCACCTCACTCTCCTCAGTGAAGCTGAACATCACGACAGAGGTAACTTGAAAAGTAACGTCTCATCAGTGGAAGAGGGTGAGGGGCTAAGGACAGCAGATGCTGAGGAGAAGTCTTCTCTGTCTCACCCTGGGATTACCCCATCTCCTCCTTCCTGTGGGCCCGGCTCTCCTCTGATGTCTTCCTGCGACCTGCGCTGTACCACGGATAGGAGGCAGTGCCAGGCTTTGGCACAGCTAGACAACCTGCTGATGTCAGATTGGCATTCCACAGCCTCTGCCAGCCCACAGACCTACAAGGTTGAGCTGCAGATGCAAGCTTCTGGCCTTCCCAAACTTCGCATTAAATAGACCCCAGCTCTGTTAGAGGCTGAGCCCCTCAGTAAGGAGGAGAGCTCTTTGGGAGAGGAGAGTGTCCTCCCTGTTCTCAGCGTGCCCAGGGTCAGCAGGTCCTCAGGCAAACCTGAACCCACCTATGTGTCACCCCCCTGCCTCCGCCTCTCCCACAGCACACCTGGTAAGAGCAGGGGGCAAACCTACATCTGCCAGGCCTGCACCCCCACCCATGGCCCTTCTAGTACCCCGTCTCCATTTCAAACAGATGGGGTTCCCTGGACACCATCCCCCAAGCACAGTGGGAAGACAACTCCAGACATAATTAAAGACTGGCCCAGGAGGAAGAGAGCGGGGGGCTGCAGGACTGGGTCCTCTTCTGGGAGGGGTGAGGTTGGAGCAGACCTTCCTAGGAGGCTGTCGCTGCTGGAGCCAGAGAGCAAGGAGCACAGCCTTGAACTCAGCATGCACCAGATGCCCATTTTGGAGGATTTTGAGCTTGAGGGAGTGTGCCAGCTGCCAGACCAGTCACCTCCCAGGAACAGCGTGCCTAAGGCCAAGGAAGCCTCCTCCTGGGGACAGTTTGGGTTGAGTTCCAGGAAGAGAGTCCTGTTGGCCAAGGAAGATGATGACCATGGAGCCAAAAGGATCTGTGACCTGAGAGAAGATTCAGAAGTCAGGATGAGTAAAGAGACGTCTCCAAGTCAGAGTGCACGGCAGCTACCCTCCACGGAAGATGACGAGGTGTTTGTTTCGGGTTCGTTTGTTCCTCCCGGCTGTACCCTGAGGAGCTGCCTCTCTGCCAGTGCCCTCCAGACTCTGACCCAGACTCTGCTTCTGTTCCAGGGGAAAACACCTTCCTCTCAGAGCCAAGACCCCAGAGATGAGGATGTAGATGTATTTCCCTCCACTGCCGAAGACTCTCCCTTCAGTCGTGTGTTCTCCAGGAGGTGCCCCATCAGCAGAACGTACACACGGAAGAAGCTCCTGGGACCCTGGCTAGAGGACTTGTAGCCATAAACACTACTGAGCCCAAAAAGTAAGGAGTCAGCTAGGACCCTATGGGCATAAAGAAGCTGGGGGCCTGGTCCCAAGCCTCTCTTGCCATGGTCAGCGTTCAGACTGCCATTAGAATAGGTTTTCTAATTCTCCTCATGGATCCAGTCCATCTCCTAGCCCTGACCCTTGGTGGGGAGGTTGCAGGAGGAGGTGGATGGCAATGTAGCTGGTGCTAGAACTCAGGCAGCCTGGGAGCAGCCAGACAAGGGATCCCATTGTATGGAGCCCCACCCCAACTATGACCTTGGCAAGTCAGGAGGCCACTCTGCCTCACGCCATGGAGAAAGGAGCCCTGCCTGGGGTAAGGCCGGGCTGCTGCAGCACAGGCAGCACTTTGTAAACTGTGAAGCCACATACGTGAAACTCGAGTGCATTGGGCAGCCGAAGCCATTTTTGCCTTCGCTGTGTAACCATAAAACCACCTCTAGCGACTGAGCGCTCAGTATATTTTTGTTGAATGTTGAGCCTGAGGTGAACTGTGACCGCGGTCCAGCTCAAGTGGCTTCTACAGCAGCCACATTTCCAAGAGTCAGCAAGTTCATGGCACAGGCCTTGCCCGTTCCTGGGGAGAAGACCATCCCCTGGTTCACTGTTTCCACCGGGAGTGCCACTCAGACCGGTTGGACCAGCCTGCCACCAGGTCCTGGCTAACGCTGAGGGCTAACTCCGAATTGTGTCCCCAGAAAGCCTTCAAGCCTATTGTGCTCCCAAATCTGATTCCTCTTACTGTCTCCTATTTCTCCCTTAAGAGATTTTATTAAATGGTTTTTTAAGATCCTAAAAACAACAAAAAAAAGAGGGGTCGACCCAGGCAAGGTAGGCTTCATCAGCCATGCTAACCTCCCTCCCTACCCTAGGGTCCCAAATCTTCTGTTGAAGCCTTTCAGTTTTTTTAAGTTTTTGTAGTTATGGAGCCTCGTTATATTGCCCAGGCTGGTCTTGAACTCCTGGCCTCAAGCAATCCCCCCACCTCAGCCTCCCAAAGTGCTAGAATTATAGGCATGAGCCACTGCACCTGACCTGTGTCCTGAGATCTCGGCTGCTGTCTGCCAATGGTAAAGTAAACGGAATGATAGTGCTAATGCTCAAAGTGGCCCAGCGTGGAGAGGGGAGGCCAGGAAATCAGTGGGGCTGCAGGGGTCGTAACTTCAGGAGGCGCTCCTTGGCTGTGTGGATGTCCTCATCATTGGGGTTGAGTTTGAAGGTGCCCTGGGCCCACTCCTCAGCAACCTATAGCAGGTGACAGCAATGCTGTGGGTCAGTTGAGCAGGTATCACCAGCCAAGAGAGCCCCTGCCCTGGTCCCACCCAATCCCCTGATGACTGACTGTCAGAAAAAGAGTATGTAGAGGAGGCAAAAGCAGCCCAGACCTCACTGGTCCCATTTCTCTGCTGACCACATCAAAGTCAGGAGAGGAACAGTCCTTGGCTTAATGTCACATCCTGTCCTCTATCTGAACCTTGGAAACCAAGGTACCTTCCTGCCTCAGCAGAGCTGACCTCAGGATGTCTAAAATGTCCCCTCCTCCTAATCCCCGAGCTCAGCTCTATGCAGTGCATGCCGCTCTGGCCAGACTGGCTGGAAGAGTGTCTGGATGGCTCATGCCTGTAATCAGTGCTTTGGAAGGTCAACATAAGAGGATGGCTTGAGGCCAGGAGTTCGAGGCCAGCCTGAGCAACGTAGTGAGACCCTCTATCTACAAAAAAAAGAAAAGAAAAGAAAAGAAAAAGGTTGTTTTTTTTTTTTTTAATTAGCCAGGCGTGGGGACCCCAGCTAACTTGCCAGGCTGGGGTGGGAGGATTGTTTGAGCTCAGAAGTTAGGACGACGCCACTGCGCTACAGCCTGGGTGACAGGACCAAACCCAGCCTCAAACAAATTTTAAAAATTAAAAATAAACAGTAAAAACAAGGACACTGTCCGGTCTCAGCCTTGGCCTCCAGAGGGGACTCAGCTGGAGCTGAGCTCCTCCCACCTCCTCCGCTCGGTCCCCAGTCCTCCAATCCCGAACCCCCAAGCCCCTTCACCTTAAACCGGTGGGGCCCCCAACTGCGGGATGCCCGGGGAAGGAGCCTGCCGGGGGCCCGGACTCCCCAACTCATTCCGCCGGGCTTCCGGGCACCTCCAGGTCCTGCCCCGGACCCTCACCTTCCGCAGTGGCCACCGCTATTCCTTGAAGCCCCGGCGCGGGTTGTCGGAGAAGTCGGCGCGGAAGCTCCAGAGGCCGTCCAGCTCCTTGCACTCCTGTGACAGGCTCTCCCGGGGGTACAGCATCCCGCCCTGCGGCGCCAGCGCGCAGCCTCACAACAGCGGCCCAAGCGCCGCCCTGGCCACCACCGGCCCCAGGTCCGGCTTCCCGCTCCGCCGCTCGGCCTCCAACTGCCCAGCTAAGAGCAGCGCAGTAGGAGCCCGGCGGGCGGGTCGCGTGACGTACTGATGCCGTCCGCGCCATCTTGGTTGAGGGGGAGTGCCAGGCCTCGGGGGGTTGGGCGGGTCCGGGCGCTGCCCATTGGGGCGGCGGCTGGGAACCCCGGCCTAGGTCTTTGGGGAAGCGGGACCCTCAGTCCCAGCCAAGAAGGGCGAGGTCTGCTCCCCACCCCGCCCCAGGGTGGATGATCCAGGGCCGCAGGCCAGGACAGAGCCCCTGAGATGGGTGGGATTCCGCGGTTTCTTCAAGGAGCACCTCCACTGGCTTTCCGGAGCCGGACTCTCAGCAGGCCCCAGCGGAGCCTCTGCCTTGCCTGTCGGGTGCAGCCCCTTGAGATGTTGTTAAAATCAGCCGAGTGGCATGTGCCCGTAATCCCAGCTACCTAGGAGGCTGAGGTGGGGGGATTGTTTGACCCCAGGTGTTTGAGGCTGCAAAGAGCTATGATGGCACCACTGCACTCCAACCTGGGCACCAGAGTGAGACTCTGTCTCAAAAATAAAGAGAAAAAAAAAAAGAAAAATTATTTTGTTTATTTCTCTGAATGCCCTGGGTCTGCAATTCTCTTACCTCCACCTCCCAAGTAGCTGGGACTACAGGCGAGCAGCACCATGCCTGGCTAATTTGTATTTTTAGTAGAGATGGGGTTTTGCCATATTGGCAAGGCTGGTCTTGAACTCCTGGGCTCAAGTGATCCTCCCACCTCAGCCTCCCAAAGTGCTGGGATTACGGGTATGAGCCACCGGCGCCCAGCCGATACCTGAAGTTCTAGTTCATCCATATTAACTGCTGGAATATGTTGCTTGATGTGGATACACCACTATCCTTTTCCTGTTGAGCATTTAGTCTGTTTTCGTTTTTCACTTGCACAATCAATGCTGCCATGTATACTCCAGCAATACACTCCGGTAGTGGCTCATGTGAGAGATTTCTCTAGGTGTATCCTAGGATTGGAGCTGTCAGGTTGCAGGCTCTGTTCATCTCTAAGGAGGTCATCCAGCTTTTACTTCCAGCTGCCTCACAATAGAGAAGCATCCAGTTCTCCCTTGGCCCCCTTGGCCTCCCAAACCAGGGCCTCCCTTGGCCCCATGCAGGTCCGGATACCCACCCAATCAACAGTTTTGCTTATTTCTGGTCCATAAAAAGGTTTCAGTTATTTTGATCTTGGCTAGACATTTTGGGGGTCTTTTTTTCCCCCTTGAGAAGGAGTTTCACTCTTGTTGCCCAGGCTGGAGTACAATGGTGCTATCTCAGCTCACTGCAACCTCTGCCTCCTGGGTTCAAGTGATTCTCCTACCTCAGCCTCCCAAGTAGGTGGGATTACAGGTGCCCACCACCATGCCCAGCTAACTTGTATTTTTAGTAAAGATGGGGTTTCACCATGTTGGTCAGGCTGTTCTCGAACTCTTGACCTCAGGTGTTCCTCCCACCTTGGCCTCCCAAAGTGCTGGGATTACAGGCATGAGCCACCCCACCTGGCCACAAGTGTGTCTTAAACTATTTTTCTGTACTTCTCCTCATCCCTTGCTACACTTCTACTTAGACACCTGCTCCTGGGTCCCAGAAACACCTTCCCTGGTGAGGAAGAACAGAAAAAGCCTCTCGCTTCTCCCCGCTGTGACAGAAGTTATCACTGCATTTGCATGCAAGGGCCTGAACTGGAGTCCTGGCTGCCAGACTTTAGGCAAACTGCAACTATCTGGAAACCAATCCCCCTCATAGTTCCATAAGCACAATGTTGTGGGCCTCACCCCCAGAACATGTAGAGTAATAATTGGGTAAAAGTGACCTGCAGGAGTGGCTGGGCTAGGTGGCTCACGCCTGTAATCTCAGCAATCTGGGAGGCCAAGGAAGGTGGATTGCTTGAGCCCAGGAGTTCAAGACCAGCCTGGGTATCATAGTGAGGCCCCATCTCTACAAAAA